TGGAGCACACCCCCCAGTGGGGGGGGGCCTGCGTATGGCCCCAGAATATCTAGGGATGGCCCTGGTACCTGCCACCCTGCCTCCAGCCAGCCCCGCACCCCCTACCCTGCCCGCAGCTGGCCCCTGCTGCACCCCCTTGTCTCCAGCCAACCCCTGCCACACACCCCTGCCTGAAGCCAGCCAGCCCCGCACTCCCGTCTCCAGCCAGCCCCTGCCACACCCCCGCGCCTGAAGCTAGCCAGCCCCACACTCCTGTCTCCAGCCAACCCCTGCCGCACCCCCCTGCCCAAAGCCAGCCAGCCCCGCACTCCCCTGTCTCCAGCCAGCCCCTGTCAGCCCCCCGTGCCCGAAGCCAGCCAGCCCCACACCCCATCTCCAACCAGCTCCACATCCCTTGCCCTGCCCGAAGCCAGCCAGCCCCACACCCTATCAGGTTATTCATTTATTTTCATTAAATAGGTAGTCTAAATAATGAAATTAATAAATTTTCAAGCTGAATGTGTATTAATTCTAATGAACAATGCCACACTATGCAGTATTCATTTTTGAAAGTTTATAATGAGTGATGCTCCGGGGGGAGAGGGAGGGGTGGGTGTGGGGTAAACAAGATGGAAGTTTTGCCTAAGGTGCAAAATATCCTTGCACTGGCCCTGAGTCCTACACCAGCCGGGCAGGGACGCTGGGTGGGCTCTGCTGCCAGGCTGGGGGAGCCAAGTGCCCAGGCGTAGGCAAGCTGAGCTGCGCTGAGAACTACATCGCCCAGCATGCACCGCTTCCCAATGGCTCTCCCTGGCGATGGGAACTACATCGCCCAACATGCACCGCTTCCCAATGGCTCTCCCTGGGGATGGGAACTACATCGCCCAGCATGCACCGCTTCCCAATGGCTCTCCCTGGCGATGGGAACTACATCACCCAACATGCACCGCTTCCCAATGGCTCTCCCTGGCGATGGGAACTACATCGCCCAGCATCTGCTTGCTCCCGCTTTCCCAGGAGCCCCCGCGAGCCGGCGCCCCGTTTCCTAAGCAACGGGCTGGTAAACAAGATGGCGGCAACCGGGCCCCTGCCAGGGGGCAGCCGAGTCTGAAGCACCTGCACGCTCGCCCCCCTCCCCCTTCTCCCCCGGCCCCGCCGCTCCCCATGGCCGAGCGGGGGGGCGAGGAGGACGGCACGGGGGGGCTGCCCCCCTCCCCCGCCCAGCTCCTCGGTGGGGTCCCTCTGGGACCGACGCCGCCTGGGGACGGGCCCCGCCTCGGGCAGGCGGAGCTCAGTGGCTGCTACCCGGAGCCGGAGCCGCAGGCGGGGGAGGAGGACTCGGATTCGGACCTGGACCCGGACCCGCAGCCCATGGAGGTTCAGCTCGGTCCCCGCCCCAGGGCTGGGGGGGGGGCGGACCGAGATCTGCCCTGCCGGCCATGGGGAAGCTCCTTCCCTCTGAACACTCAGCCCGGCTGGGGGCACGCCCCGGCCCGCGGGTGTGGGGACGCCCGGCTCGGGGGGGCAGACTGGGGCCGCTCGGGCTCTCACGCCTGGGCAGCGGGGTGGGAGCCGCACCTCCAAAGCCCCCTGGCTACACAGCTATTTGTAGCGGGCGGGGGGCTCTGCCAACCTGCCTGCATCTGTTGACCGCTGACTGGGTGGTGGCAGTGCCCTCCCTTGGTGTCGCTGCCTGGCTAGGGTGACCAGATAGCAAGTGTACAAAACCGAGACAGGGCGTGGGGGGTAATTGGTCAAATATGTGAAAAAACCCCCAAAATCTGGACTGTCCCTATAAAATCAGGTCTTCTGATCACCCTACGCTGCCAGGCAGGGCGGGGGGGGGGGATCCGATCATGAATTGTCTTGTGACTCCCCCCACCCCCAATGTGTGTCTGTGTCAGACAGAAGGAGGGGTATAGCTGAGGCTGAGTTTATTTCCCTGCTCTCCCTCCCCTGTGTTGCTTCCATCAGTAGGGAGCGGGTGTGTTTTCTTCTGCACCCTACTGGTTGCCTGCCAGAAAAGGGCAGAAAACAGGCTGGCATGCAAATTGCTGAATTAATGCTGGAGAGCAAATGCACCTCAGCATAGCTGTGTGCAGTGCGTGTGCCCAGCCCTGACGTTCAACACGTTCCCAGGAAGGAGTGGATTTGTTTCGTTTCATCTGTCTCCAATCTGCCCATCACCAAGGCATTATCACCTCATATTTTTAATCATGTCTTAAATATCTCTGTAGCACCATCCACTGTAGTATCTCTGTAGCTCCAATTGCTGTAGGAGGTGCTCGGAGTTGCATTATTACTCTTTGATAAATTATTTATCTTGGTCCCTAGGTTTGAGATCATTGTGTGGCTTCTCAAAGCTCATAGGAATTTCACAAATCATTGGCTTATTTTCTCATTAAACCTGTGCACTGGTTCACTAGTGCCATCTGTTAACCACCCCCTTTGGCAGAGGACTGGTTGTTTTGTGAAAAGGATTTCACATTACTCAGGCAAAAAAATGTTAAGGGGCCATTGATTCTTGGGATGTGTTAATTTTTGAGTACCCAGCTTGAGATATTTTAGGTCTGATCTGCAGAAGAACTGAGCATTCATAACCCAGTTGACGTCTAAGGAAGATGCATGCACTCAGCGCCTCTGCAGATCAAGCCCTTTCTAAAGTTGAGCATCTGAAATGTGAGGTACAGAAAACTAAATGGCCCCTTTTGAAAATGTTGACTTGAGCCTTTTCTATTGCTCATATGAGAGTTCGGAGCTAGTGTACAGTATGTTCCAGTGTGTTTTGAATGCTAAAGTTATATCCAATAATATTTTGTTTTTCTGGGTGTATAAAGCTGGTGCAAATGATGCCACAGCAGGGACATGAGGCTAGAACTAAAACCTGTGTGCTGTTCTGACTTGCATCCCATGCAATCCCAGTGACTTCAGTAGGACTGAACAGTGTAGAATTTGGGTTTTTAAATCTATCTAAGAGTGTGTCTGTCCTTCTTGTGTTTTGCAGGAACATTTTGATGGGGTACTGGATGAGGGTACGGTGGCTGAGGCCCTGTACAAACTGGGGCGTTCAGCCCCTGGCGCCAAGTTTGTTTACCTTAATCTGTCGCTTTCAGTGAGTACAACCAAAGAACAAACATCTTTCAGCAGAGCCATCGTTGTGATCACTGATGTGGTTCTCTGCTCACAAGTAGGGTGACCAGACAACAAGTGTGAAAAATCGGGACGGGGGTGGGGGTAATAGGAGCCTATATAAGAAAAAGATCCAAAAATCGTGTCTGTCCCTATAAAATCGGGACATCTGGTCACCCAACTCCCAAGGGTCACCCTAAGCTGAGTTTCACTCTTAACAGGCGATGGCCTGCGTGGCAAGATATGTCCTCTTTTTCAGGAGGCAGGCGTAATCTTTTCACCTTCTGTGCCTTATGTGGGGACCTTTGAAAGGCTGTGACTTCACTCCTGGATCAGTCCCTCTTTGTTTTCTACTAGGAACAGCTGTAGCTGTAGGTGTCAGGGATTCCTCTTTACTCTGTCTCCAGGGCAACTTCCTACAGAACTCTTGTTCTGCTCAGTCAGAGCAGAGGAGGAGGGGGAGGTGATAATCCCCTTGGAATACAGCCTGTAACATCACTCTGGTGGGAGGCAACTGCTGTTGTCCAAGGAGATTAGCAGAGCTGAACCCAGTTAAAGATGACTCGCCACAGATTCCTCTTATATGCAGCCTGATTTTGTGGCATTCCCTCTGGATGCAGCCATCTCTCATGACTGCATTTTTTTTTTCTGCTTTGACTTTTTTCCCCATTTGTGTCTGGTTTGGGCGTGAATAGACCTTGTTTTATGTAATCATATTCTGGTGGGCTCAGATCCCAGCGTCCACGGGAGGAAGCTGTGGATGTCTCATCGACACTTCCTTCTACCATGTCTCCTAAGAGAGCAGGGTGTGGTTACACAGCGAGTTATTAAAGCTTCTTTGCTTTTTATTTTCCCAGGGGCGTAATTTAAGTGACATTAGCATTCTTTCCAGATACATTCACCTAGAGAAGTTGGAGCTTTCATACAATAAAATTAATGGTATGTAGTAAGTACGCTAGTAAACTCTTGGCTTGTAAAATCATTTAAGATGAAAAATACAGTGTTCTGTGTAGCTTTAATATCATAAAACCCTGTCCACACATTAATAACATTGCTAATCCAACTCTGTAGAGTGATACAATAGCTGCATCTCCTTGAGAATGATTTACTGATGGTATTCATACAGCTGTACCAGCATATGCTAGGCAACATGAAAGTAAAGATTATTGTCCGGTTTATTATTTGGACATAAAGTACAAACAACCATGTTAGTGCAAGGTTAAGGTGGAGATCTTACAGCTATTCCAGTCTTGGGGCTTCTCTTCAGCAAAGATTTCCAGCTGAGGCTGAAGTGTACCAAATTGCGTGCTGCTTTTATGATGATCACAATCAGGCCTCATGTCATTTTATTATGTGTTTGCACAGCACCTAGCACAATGGGGTCCTGGTCCACGATTATTAATAATAAAAATAAGTAAGGCTTGTGCGGTAACCTGCTGCATCATGTAGCCTCTGCCTTAGTACTTAGACATTGGGAGAGCTGGAGATCAGTACATCGCTGTGACTGTCACAACCTCACTGTGCCCATTTTAATTTTTTCCAAGTAGAGTACCAAGTAAATGCCTGAACTGAATAGGGGCCCTTCTCCAAAGAGATAATCACTCCTTTCTTGACCCCTTTAAGATTATGCCTTTTATGAAATAATTATTAAGATCTAAATTCGTGGGGGAATCGCTTGCTCTGCTATTATGCACATAACTCTTAAAATTGGCTTGAGTGATGCTGTGTGGAAGATAGATTGATTTGTGACTGATCTAAAGATAAATTTTCAGTCTTGTCTGAGACTAAAGAGCCTAAGTCACTTTTGGAAATGAGATTTAGGCTCATAAATCACTAAGGCTCTTTTGAAAATTTTATCTCTAGGTGGCAAAGTTAAATTAGGATGATAGCAAACGAAACCAATTTTAAAAAATAGAGATTTGATTTAGGAATTGGGCATTTATCTCTGTCTTGAATTGTTCACAAAGTATCTTTTGTGTAGGAAGAGGTGCTAATACATTGAATTACTGCGGGACAAGCCTTGCTCTATGTCTTGCATGGTTTAAAATTGATTTTTGGTTGCTAGCGGGTGTAATTACCATATTACATTATGACTCCGTAATCTATGTATTCCCCTATGTATTATTTTACTTAATTTGGTGTTTTCCCTTTGTTATAGATCTGTCTTGTGTCAGTCATATGCCTTATTTACTGGAACTTGACGCTTCCAATAATGAACTGACTACCTACTTTGATTTCAAGCCACCTAAAAATCTCAAGGTAAGTTGTGAAAAATGTTCTTTGTCAGGTTTGAATTCAAAGAGGCCTTTTAAACATAATTTATATTCTGTACTAGGCCAGGCAAAGAGATCAAACTTCCTTTGTCCCCTACACATCCATCTTATTCTGGTTGCCATTTAAAAAAATTGCACCTCTCATTTGGTTTCACATTCCTGAACCCCAAACACTATGGGAATGGCATTTTACAGAATTCATTGTACTGGTTAAGATTTTGCCAAATGAATCAAATCTTGAATGGAATCAATTCTCACTTTTCAGATTGACTGGTACCAATCAGTACTGTAAAAGATATATGTGACGTATAGCCATATACTGTCCACTTTCTCGGCTATTGTGTTGATATAGTCCACTATGGGTTACAAAGATCTGGATATTGTTTTGAAACACTACCACTATGGAATCCTCTGCTTTCCCTTCCTGATCTCTAATCTTTATGCATCATTGCCAGGACCATTAATATTGTCTGTAGGAGGAACACAGAATAGTTAATGAAGCTTCCAAAATTTGAGTTATGTATCTAATAAAAAAACCCTTTTGTTATGTCTCACCACGTATTAATATTAATGACCCTTTTATTTTGTCTACAAACCCCACCACAAGCATAATGGAAAAGCCAGTTAGTTTCACAGGGCAGCTGAAAGTGCTGAAGAAAGGAAAGCAACCTCGTGTGTCCTTTTTCTCTTCAGGAGGTGGATTTTTCATACAATCAAATACCTGAAATGCGAGATCTGTCTGCATACCAGTCACTTACTAAACTCACATTGGACCGTATCCTTTGTGGAAACCACAACAGGAGAAGGTGGTTTGTTGTTTTTGTGAAGGGCTGTTCATTCTAAATAGCTGTCCATCTTCACTGTGTAGCTTCACTCAACCTTATGATTCTGCCTTGAAAAGCAAGGTGAAATAGTTTTTAATCTAATGATGAAACTGATTTGAACTTAGTAAAACATTAATATTTATAAAGGCGGGTTGGGTAGGAGTGTTTGTAAAGATCAAATTCTCTGTCAAGGGAAAACAAAAAACCTTCATGCCCTGAAAAGCTAAGAAAGCCGTGAGTCGTACTCCCTAGACATGACAAAGATGATAAACAAATGCTCGCTGCAGCACTGGGATATGAAGTGTAATCTTTGGAGTTTACTTTAACTCCTTTGTGCTCAGATTCAGGATTTCCCTAAGCTATAAGTGAGAAGCCAAGAGGGGAAGACAGGGGTGAATCTCTCCAAAGTTGCCTGTTCTGTACATTTCCTCTAAAGCTCAGATACTGGCCACAGTCAGGGCAGGATACTGGGCTAAATGGACCATTGGTATAACCCAGTCTGATTGTTCTTATGATACACACCTGTGAAAGAGAGAATTTAATGTTAATATGAATAATAAATAATAATTCCTTGAGCCTAGGAGCCTAGGTATTAATTTAGATGTAATATATGGGCTAAAGATGTTAACATAATCAAGTCACTGTCCAACATTAAACAGTGTTAAACAAGATCCGAGGTTTTGTATACAGAGACCTCAGCCTGCTTTGTACCATGGCAAACACACAATTAACAATCCTTTGAACTTTAGAAGGAAAAAGAGTTAACATATTTGAAATGTTAAATATGGCTTTCATTTTAATAATCCCTTATTCCTTTTCACTGGAGAGTTTTTAAAAGAAAAAAAACAACCTTGTTTGACAGTCTCTTAGGTAGATGATAATAACTGTCCATTTGAGGAAGAGAGAAGTTAGTTGAGACAGACTGGAGCTGCTGCTGCTGTTAAAGTCCGATCCTGTTTCATCCCCAGAGGCGTTTGGGATTTATCTGTAGCTAGCAAAGGTGGCGATGTCACCTGGGTCCCTCTCTCTAGCTAGGCCTGGTCAGGACATCTCTCAGGATTAGACGTAGAAGTTCCCGGGTCCCAGGAGATGGTGGGGGTGGCAGCCATGATGGTGAAGATTGGACCCGCAGCCAATTTTTCTCCCAAAGTCTCTTCCTTGAAGGACCCCAAAGGGGAGTGGTAGGGGAATAGCCTTTATTTTGTCCACCAAGGTCTAGTTTCCAACACACCAATTTTGGTTCACTGATTTTTGGTTGCACACTTTTCTGGTTTACCAAGCATGATCTTAACATAAGGAGACTTTCTTTCCAACCTTTTCCCATCCACATTTGTTGTTCTGGGTTATTGTGACGTTTTATAAGCTGTCATGTACTTGTTACAATTGAGCTCATAATTAGGGTAAATTTGTCGGCCCAATTATTACAACAAGCCTCACTCATGGACCAGGATCCCTTTGTGCTAGGTGCTGGACAAAAATCAGACAAAAAGACAGTCCCTGCCCCAAAGAGCTTACAATCCAAGTATAAGACAAGAGACAATGGATGGATACTGACAGGTGGGGGAGTACAAGGAAACAGACCATGTTAATCACCATGATTTGAAGTAGTCTCAGCACACCGATGGCTTAACAGTTGTCAGGATTTTGTAGGCGTCACAGCAAAGGAGAGTTAATGGGCAGGAAGTTCCCTTTAGCATTAAAGGCGGTTCAACGTTTATGTAGATTTAATTTGATTAAAAATCAAGTTGGCGACAGGTGAGCTGCTTTAATTGAAAAAAACATTCTGCTGGGTAACCTCAAAAGTAGCTAAAATGGACTGATTTTCAGATTTCCACAGAATCTAGGAAAGTTAAGGCTATTAAATGTCAGTGTATAAGATCGTGCTCGTATGTGAGGTAAGACTACATGCAGTGCAAATTGTTCTCAAAAACACCTTTCAGTCTGTGAGCACCCCAGGTTGTGGGGTAGTAAACCCCATTCTGGTGGAGATCTGATAAGGATGTGTTAGATACTTACGTTTCTCCACTGTCTGCTTTTCCAAGGCGTTTGCTGTGCAGAGCTGCCCTTATTCCTCCTGAAGGCTCTCCTTCTCCTACACTGTTCTAAGGCGTGGCCCACACTTAAAACTTGCATCGGCATTGCTGTGTTGGTCAGGGGTGTGACAAAAACTCCAGTATAGACACAGAAGACACTGTTCAGACAGAAGAATGCTTCTGTCTGCTTAGCTAATGGGATTTGGAGAGGAGGTGTTCCTACATGGACTAAAAACCTCCTTCTTTTGGAGTACACCGCATTTACACTGGGGGGGCTATACTACCATAGCCATGCCAGTAAGGGGTCTGTAGTGTAGACACAGTCTAAGCTAGTGCTCTATGTTGTTCTCTTGCATTCCCATGTAAGCTTATAAATGCTTACTAAGGCTTAGGAACCTCTTTTCTCCTGCCTTGTAAATTGCATCCTGAGTCTTTGTTCCAGGAGGAGGGGATTGCAGGCTGTATCATTTTGGTTCTTTGTCTTCCATACTCAAGTAACCCTATTACTGAAGGATGTTATTTCAGCATTCTTATTTCTCACAGGGGTGGTTAGCTCATTCGCAGGGTTTTCAGGTTACATTATTGACAAGTTTCACAAGGTGTACAGGTGACACAATTCTTGTTGGAGAATGGCACCGAGACGCCATTCAAATTTCCTATTGCAAAGCAAAAATAATGTGACCAGTAAAAAAGGGTCAAGGGTTGTTATCACTGAACTGAATAGGAATTAGGATTTTTCATTTGCTTTGAATGCAGCAGTTCAGTATCTTTATTTGATTCATTCGATTTGTTGCCAGCAATAGGGGAAGAACAACTGTGCGTATGAGTGCATCAGGACCATTTGAAATTCAGAACGTGAATGCAGAGTTTAAAATGCAACATGGCACCATTCCTAACTTGTGTCAAGCAAAACTCACAGAAGACATGGCAGCCAAAACAAGCTGTTCTTATAGTCTACAAATGAAACAACATTTCTTAAATATCTTACAGTGGTGAAAGTGTTTGGGATGCATTTCTTAGCAGACAGTAACTAAGCATCTCTTACCATATTTCAATGAGCTGTGATGCAGATGGTAAGGTCATTACAAGTTTTCCTGACAGTTGCACACACAAACATACCTGACAGGATTACAAATTAATCTTCTTAGAGGAAATGGTCTAAAACAGAAAGGAATACAGTTTACTACGGCAGTAATACCTGAGCGCGCAGTTGTAGTGGGTCATTAAGATTCTAAAATCGGTTGTTAGTGCTGACTGATTTTCAGCATCTTATTTGTGTGATCACCTTTTATTATACATTTGTAACCTCTTGGACCCTAATAGGCTGGTGTTCTACTTAATGGCAATCAATGATTGATTGGATCCACTGTGCCCAATGAAGTTTTGCCATAGACTTCAATAGGAAGAGGAGCAATCCTATTTTGTCATAAAGTCCATGTCCAACTACCAAGTGTGGTACACTTAATCCTGCCTCAGCACAGGGGGATGGACTAGATGACCTCTTGAGGTCTCTTCCAGCCCTACATTCCATTGTGGTCTGAGTGCACTTTTCAAAACATGTCAAGTAGCCTAGCATAGGCCCTATAAAATGATAGATCCTACTAGGTAGGAATCTAGGCTAGAACATGGTGTTGGGGTTCAGTTATAGTTTGACACTGTCAGTGCAGATTGGGCCAAACCGTGTTAGGGTGTGTGTGGCAAAAACTGGCCAAACCCTGGTTGTTCAGCACAACACACAGTAACGTGGTGTTGGGGTTCAGTTATAGTTTGACACTGTCAGTGCTGATTGGGCCAAACCGTGTTAGGGTGTGTGTGGCAAAAACTGGCCAAACCCTGGTTGTTCATCACAACACACAGTCGACCTATGGAACTTGTTGCCTGGGAATGTTGTGAAGGCCAAAAGTATAACTGGGTTCAAAAAAGAATGAGAGAAGATCATGGAGGATAGGTCCATCAACGGCTATTAGCCAAGATGATCAGGGATGCAACCCCATGCTCTGGGTGTCCCTAAACCTCTGACTGCCAGAAGCTGAGACTGGATCACAGGTGATGGATCACTCGATGAATTGCCCTGTTCTGTTCATTCCCTCTGAATCATCTGGCACCAGCCACTGTTGGAAGACAAGATACTGGGCTAGATGGGCCACTGGTCTGACCCAGTATGGATGTTCTTGTGTTCTTATAACAAGATTGTATTTTCTTTCATTACCCTTGTAGGATAAATGCAGCTCCTCTAATTGCATTTGATTAGAATTATTTGTATGGTTCTGGCAGGGAAAAAATAATCTGATCATTTGTCTACAGGCATCTAAGGTTTGAAATGTGGTTGGCTGTGTTACAAAAAAATGTCGCTGTCCCAGTTTTCGGACGGTGGTATCATTCTCTCATATACATTAAAATGAAATATTGTTGCCCCATGTGATTGCATAAAGGCATCACTCTGCATCCTGCTTAATCTACTTTGGAGTTTTGTAGCTGGGTTTCTTATTTATATTCTCTTGTTTTTAAAGTGTCTGATTCCAATTTGGTCTTATATGATTGTCAAGGCTGCTTCCCCACTTTGAATTTTAGGGTACAAATGTGGGGG